TCCACACGTTTACATGCAATGGGAAAAGTTCAAAAGGAAGGCAGATGGGTTCCGCATGCACTGTCCGATGACAATAAAAATCGACGGCGTGACACGGCACTCACTTTGCTTTCAAGGTTCCGGAAAAAGGATTTTCTGCACCATTACAGGTGATGAAAAGTGGATACTTTATGATAATCCGAAGCGTAAAAAATCATGGATTGACCCTGGTCAACCTTCGACATCGACGCCAAAGACCAATATCCACGCCAAGAAGGTTTTGCTTTGCATATGGTGGGATTGGAAAGGTGTATTGTATTACGAGTTGTTACAGCCGGGTGAAACAATAACGGCAGATCGCTATCAGCAACAATTGAGCAATTTGAGATGCGATGCGTTTGAAGAAAAGAGGCCATTTACTGGCAAAGGACGTCGTAAAGTGATACTGCTTTATGACAATGCCCGACCACATGTTGCGAAAGTGACTCAGGACCATATCTTTGCGTTAGGCTGGGAACTTCTCCCGCACGCGGCGTATACCCCAGACATGGCGCCTTCCAATTACTACCTATTCCGGTCTCTGCAGCATTTCTTGGCTGATACACATTTTGTGACACTTGAAGAGATACGAAAATGCATTGATGACTTTATCGCCTCGAAGCCGGTGAGCTTTTACCATCAGGGAATTCGCAAGCTGCCCGAAAAATGGCAAAAGGTCACCGATGCAAACGGGAAATATTTCGTTGATTAATATAGTTTTATTTGTTTTTAAATAAATTTTGAATTTTGCAAAAAAAGGCTCAGAACTTTTTTGCACTCCTAATACAATGAACATTAGCTTCACCACAGCTTGTCTTGCAGGAATTAGTTGTAATATTGCGATGAATGCAAGTTTGTCAATTAAGACGCAAATCCTGACATTTTCACGATCTTTCCTATGTTCGTCTGTACATTTTTGGCCTATATTTGGTCAAATATATCGCGAACATAGCGAAAGAATCAGCTTCTGCATAGATTGTTTTATTAGGGCAAGAGCTTTACATGTATAGAATTAATATACATTCACGTATCAAAGGTGTGAAAGCAGGCACAATATTCATTTTCAAGGTCATGCATTATATGCATTTAATATTTCATGATCGGTCATCCAGAAAGATTGAAGCCAGACGAAAAGGATTATATCTCCCGAAATATTTTCTTTTTTAGGTTAAAGAAAAATAAACAATAAATGTGATAAAAAGATTGCAAAAGGCACAGCGATTGCATGCGGTAATTTACAAGCATATTGTTCGCATCATTGTTAGTGTTACGTCCTAGAGGAGGAGCGCAACCTTTTCGTTCGCAGGAAAGACGAACCTCGTTCATACATGCGTGCCAGGGAACGGGTCAGGAACCCGACGGGTCCCTTTACTCGGTCACTGACGTACGACGAGCGGTCCATTTTTGGTCAAGGACGCGAATCCCTTTACCGGGGATAGGACCATGAGTCAGCTGTTGGAAGGTGGGGTGATTTTGAAATTAATTGAATGAAAATAGACTATTAACAGATTTATTAAAATAAAGATAATAACAAAATGATATAACGGTGCGGTTTAAAATATGACAATTTACGCGAATGATTGTATGTGTATGTGTGTGTGTGAGAAGTAAAAGAAGAAGAAATGAAAAAGGGGAGGAATATGAATAGAGAGTTAGTCGAGTGAGGGAGAACATGAGTGGTCAGGTGAATTTATGGGAATGGATAGTTCAGAGAAAGAAACAGGGGAATAAGATATTGAAGGGGTAGAAGGAGTGAACGCGCGTATAGGAGAAGAGGAAGGAGCAAGGGATAAACGTTGAGGGAGTAGAAAAGGGGGTAGGAGTGTCAGGTCTGGGTGATAATCAATTTCTAGGGAAATATTAATAATAGATCAGAGATATTGAAGTTGATTTTCAAATTCGTAGGGGTCTCTTATCCCGTATACCGTCTCGAAAAGGTGGACTCTATAGATGGACCTTTTTTCTTTTTGGTAACGCAGGGGAAATCCATCATGGATACCCCCGACCCTTTGAGGGGGTCAGGAGTTGTCAGACTCCTACTGACTAAAACCCCTGCGGGATGTCTACCATTCGGACCGTTGTGAGGGAAGTTAGGGAAACTGCTCCCGCATTCCCTCCCCAACATCTCTATGGATGGACCTCACAGAATAATAGTAATGACCCACTAAAAATGGATTTCAATAAACGGGTGGAACCAATAAATACGGGCATAAAAGAAAACAAACTTACTGCTGATTCGAGATAAGTTGACACAAGAAAAAGGGAGAATGGCGCAAATCTGCGTAGGTGTTCTGATTTCCAATATTTGGAAATTTGCACCAGCTGAATATTCCAATTGAAGCACCAAATAATTGTTCACTTGTTGGAACTAGGAAGCCCGCACTTTTTTCAAAATCTAAGTGCTTGAATGTTTGAATGTTCGAATGCTTGAATATTGAATATCTGAATTTCTCAAAATCTGAATCTGAATGAATACCAACTTCTCAAAATCTGAATCTGAATCTGGAAATCTGAAATCTGGAATGCCCGCGGAGGCATATGTCGCGGTTTTTAAACTGAAGATCGGAGGCAGGACCCACCAGAGTGGGTAAAGAGATGGCCTTTGGGGGAAGGGATGAAGCCTGAAGGAGAGCCCAATGATGTCAAAGATTTAGTTAGTAAATTTTTAGTATTGGTCCTGGTTGACCTTAGTGGGAAAAAGTCTTAGCCATTAGAAGTTAAGAGTGAAACTAAAAGACATCGTGAGAGGAGACAGTTAGTTCTAGAAGACATGAATATAGATGGGATAAGGGGTGGAGTGTGGATGTCTCATAGTTTTGGGTGGATAGGTTATGATTGGCCGAATGGATTAGGCACGACAAGTGATGATGGTGGATTCTTGTGAAGTAGAGAGATGTACTACTGTGATCACAAAATAAGGTGAATTTTTCATTTAAATTTCGCGGGTACTTTAAAATCATGAAATTATTTTTTGGTAGGTTGGTAGCATTGTCTTTGACATCTGTACACAGTTTCATGTCAATATATTCAATTGCTGCAGAGCTATACGTGTTTTTGTAAACATACAAAAGTGAGTTTTTCGATTTTTACTATGTCTGATTTTGTTGAGCAAAGAATTTGCATTAAATTTTGTTTGCGGAATGAATATTCTGCCGCGGAAACGTTGAGGATGTTGCAGAAGGTCTTTGGTGATAAGGCTATGTCGCAAAAAAATGTTTACAAGTGGTACAAAGACTTCAAAGAAGGCCGAAAACGAGTTCAAGACGAACAGCGCCCCGGACGACCATCAACATCTACCGATGAAAGCCACGTCAGGAAATCAAAAATTTGCTGTTCGAAAATCGTCGATTGACAATTAGAGACCTTGCTGATGCTAAGGGCATTTCATTTGGATCAACCCAAACCATTTTAAAAGATGTTTTGTGCCTCAAACGCGTCAAATCTTGATTGATTCCAAAAACACTCAATTTTTTTGGAAAAAATGCGTCGCGTTGACATCTGTGAAACAATGATTTCTGACTACCAGGAGTCATGAAATGCATCATTACGGGAGATGAGACTTGGATCTATGCATACGACCCGGAAACAATCAACCAATCGAGTGAATATCGTGCAAAAGGTGAATCAAGACCGAAAAAACCGCACCAAAGTCACTCAAAAATCAAGGTCATGTTGACAGTTTTCTTCGATTATCGCGGTGTTGTACATTATGAATTTCTTCCGCCAGACCAAACTGTTAACAAGGAATATTATTTGAGTGTTATGCGTCGTTTGCGTGAAGTTATTCGCCTCAAGAGGCCAGAATTATAGGCAGACAATTTTTGGTTTTTGCACCACGATAATGCACCGTCCCACACTGCATTGGTTCTTCGAGAACATTTCGCCAAAAATTCGACCCATATCGTTCCACAACCACCGTATTCGCCTGATTTAGCACCGTGCGACTTCTGGCTGTTCAACAAACTCAAAAGACCGCTCCGGAGACACCGTTTTGACTCGATTGAGGATATAAAAGCCGAATCGAAAAAAGTATTGAAGGCCATCCTGGAAAAAGACTTCTCTGACTGTTTCGAGGATTGGAAAAAACGTTGGCATAAGTGCATTGTGTCGGACGGGGAGTACTTTGAAGGCGATGAAATTTATTTAGAAGAATAAATAAAGATTTTTCATTTTATAAACAAATTCGCCTTATTTTTTTATCACAGTAGTATACAGAGATGGATACAAATGGCCAGCTGGAAAAGTCAAGATGCCGAAAATCAAAGGCTGATATCAGATTTTACGACTAAGCTTTGTTGTTAAGCAGCATATAGTTTTAAATCAGGGAGATGTAAGTTTCAAAATTTCAGAGCAGGAGTGTTTCGAGTTGCTTTGTTCTACTGATCTGTTAGCGTAGAGTTTCAAATTTTATAGCTAGGCCGACGGACATACTTGGCGAACACTACCCAGATATAAACTCTAGATTTTTATAACAGGGCACTGTTTCCTGTTATGAAATTTTCCTGAATCGCTTTTCATTTGGCGTGACGGTTGTTCGCCAGATGGATAAATAAGATGGATCTGTTTCTTATGTCCATTGTTATATCAGGAAAATAGAAGTTCGAAAGGAGAGAGAGAAAAGAAAAAAGAACTTTTTAATTAATTGTCCGGAGTTCGCAGGACGTAACATTAGTGTCTTATTGAAAGAGAAAGTAATGCTGAAGGCATAATGTTTTTATTTTATTGGGTCTATGCACAATTCCGTAGCGAAATTCCGACAGATGTTGTTCGCAATTGTTTTTCCGCTCGCACATGTGTCAAATATATGAAGTGTCGTATATTAAGTAAAAGCTAAAATTTGTGCTGACATTTTAAAAAAGTATTCATCGAGATCCATGACGTATACGAAGTTTAATTATATTTTGAACATGGAAGGAAAAAACGTGTATTTTCGATGCATTTCGCCTTTTTATTTTCGAAAAGGCAAAAACTCACAAAAAGATATGCACCATGTGTGTCGGAAGTGGTTTGCGAAATTTCGTTGCGGAGATTTTGATCTCCAAGATGCTCCTCGCTCTGGTCGGCCAGTCACTACTGATGTCGATCATATCAAGGCTTTAATCGACTCCGACCGGCATTTGACAACTACAGAGATCGGACATAACCTCAACATTGACCAATCAACTGTTTTGAGACATTTACGGAAGCTTAGGATGGTAAACAAGCTTGATGTTTGGGTGTCGCACGAACTGAGCGAAAAGAATATAATGGACCGAATTTCAGCTTGCGATTTGCTCAAACGCCATCAAAACGAACCATTTTTAAAGCAGATGATCACTGGCGATGAAAAGTGGATTGTCTACAACAATGTCAGTCAAAAAAGATCATGGTCGAAGCGCTGGGAAGCTGCTCAGACGGTCGCAAAGGCTGGATTACACCCGAAGAAGGTCATGTTCTGTATCTGGTGGGATTGGAAAGAAATCGTCTATTATGAGCTAGTGCCACCCAACAAAACAATTGATTCGACCAAGTACTGCTCACAACTGGCTAAATTAAAGCGAGCAATCGATCAGAAGCGGCTCAAATTGACAAACAGAAAGGGCGTTGTGTTCCACCAGGACAACGCTAGACCACACGTTTCTCTGATGATCCAGCAAAAGTCATTGCGGCTTGGGTGGGATGTTTTGGTGCACCCACCGTATAGTCCGGACGTTGTACCTTCAGACTATCACTTGTTCCGGGCGCTACGAAACAATTTGAATAATAAAACCTTCAACTCTCTAAACGTCCTCAAAAACCACTTGGATGACTTCTTTGCCCAAAGATCTCAGGATGAAAAAGGGATAATGAAGCTTGTGGAGAGATGGCAGAAAGTCATTGAACAGAACGGAACATATTTAGTTGATTAAAATCGCTTCTTTTGCTAAATATTAGGTTAGGGAAAAAGAAATCCATTATTTTTTCGTTTATTTCAAAGCTTTATTTAACATAGTTGGGATTGTTCAATTTTGGTCAAATAAGCACCGTTTTGTTCTACAATTTGTCGCCATTTTAAAGGTAATTTCATGATCTCTCTTTCATAGAAGCCCTGGTCCTTATTTGCAAAAAACTTGACTGAGCAATTTTCACAGTCTTCTCTTGAGGTCAATTTCTTACCATCAAGGAAGTTTTGCAATGACAAAAACAGATGGTAATCGCTTGGTGCCAGGTCCGGACTATAAGGTGGATGCATTAAAACTTCCCAACCAAGCTCCCGGAGTTTCTGACGAGTCACTATAGATGTGGCCGAGCATTGTCCTGATGAGAAACAATTCCTCTCCTATTGACCAATTCTGGCCGCTTCTGGTCGATCGCTAGTTTCAAACGGTCCAATTGTTGACAATAGAGGTCCGAATTTAGTGTTTGGCCATATGAAAGCAGCTCATGGTAGATGATTCCTTTATAGTCCCACCAAACACTTAGCAAAACTTTCCTGGCCGTTAATCCTGGTTTGGCCACCGTTTGAGCCGTTTCGCTGCGCTTTGACCACGATCGTTTTCGCACAATATTGTCGTATGTAATCCATTTCTCACCCCCAGTCACCCCCCATCCGTTTCAGAAATGGTTCGATTTCGTTCCGTTTGGTCAAGGCTTTGCAGATTGAAATTCGGTTCATCATGTTTTTTGCGTCAATTCGTGTGGCACCCAAACATCGAGCTTTTTTTGAATCCAGCTTTATGCAAATAGTTTAAAACTGTTTCGTGGTCGATCTTCAGCTCCTGGGCGATACTACGACTGCTAACATGCCGGTCTACTTCGATCATTTCCATAATTTTATTGACATTCTCGACAACCTACCTGTGCAAGATGCATCTTTAACATCAAAATTACCGGAACAGAATCGACGAAACCATAATTGCGCGTGATTGACTGTGACAGTATCGGGACCATAAACACCATTCACAATTTCAGCCGCCTGGCTTGCATTTTCGCCTTTATCGAAGCAAAATTGTAAAATATACCGAATTTTCTCTTTATTGACGTACATCTTTTACGTGCTATAACTCACAACTTAACCGACAATCACAAAACCGTTAAAGATTTTTTTTAATACGGAATGTCACTTTTCCAACGAGTATAAACCTATGCGATTAATCACGATATATCACGTGATATACCTCTAAAGCCATCTAGCGGAAAAATAATGGATTTCTTTTTCCCCAACCTAATATTTTGAGTTTGAAATTTATTCGATTTTCGCTACGAAATTATACATAGACCCAATACATTAAATCTTTCACAGACGCCAACAAAGCAACAATATACACAGCGCATGGCTTTGAAATCGAATACTGCTCTCATCTTCGATATACAGGACGTCCCATTTTAAAAGATCCTCTCAAATATCTCAGAAATACTACCTTAAATCGAAAAATGTTTCAAACAAAAGTCATATGGTTTTAAGGGGGACATAAAACAATCAGTTTTTTACACGGGCGCCACTTTCGAGATATTTACTGATTATCAATTTTCTTAATTAGAAATCTCAATTTTTTATATCATATTTTTCTACCAATTAAGTTAAACAGCTTTTGTCTGAAACATTTTTTTATTTTCTTAATCATTTTTGAGATATTTAAGGAAAACCTAGTAACTTTTTTATTATTTAACTTATAATATCTCGCTATTTGTCGGAAGAAAAATGGTACCAGATCTTTTTATTTTATTTAGTCTAAAGAATATGTTACTGCAATAGTAACCAAACTTGTTAACTTATCAAATTTTGGAAATTTTTAAATCATCAAATTAAGAGAAATAAGGGCGCTATTGTAGCAATATGTTCTTGACATCAAATAGAATAAAAAAGTCTAGTACCACTTTTTCTTCCAACAAATAGTTAGCAAGATATCGTAAGTTAATAATTGAAAAAGTTACTAAGTTTTCCGTAAATATTTAAAAAATATTAGGCAAATAAAAAAATATTCCAGACAAAAGTTCAAATTAATTGATAGAAAAAGATTATTATAAAAAATTGGGATTTCCAATTAAGAAAATTGATAATCAGTGAATATCTCGAAAGTAGCGCTATCTATAAACAAAGTGTTAACGCTGTCTATGTCCTTCAAATCAAACAACTTTTGTCTCAAACATTTTTCTCTAAAATATCGCATTTACAAAAAAGTCGACTGGTACGGATTGTCTATGACACCCTACATAATTAAATTGTATTTTATTCTATATTTATGATTTTGATTTGCCTTAAATGGCTCTATGTAATATATTATTGAACTTGTTTTAAAAAGAGTTATAATATCCTGAAATAAAAAATATAGGAAAAAAGTTCCATAGGAAAACATGAAGTTCATCTCGAAATATCCTTAACCACATCACTTTCACCAACAAATGCACGAAGGTTAACTATGTTTATACTATTGAAAATATTTATTACAATTTCATTTGACTTAACAAACAATAATATGAAAGCATAATCTTAGTCCTTAAATCGATATAAAAGAAAAAATTTTCCGTTCATATTAAACAGACGACAGTGCATCGGGGTTTAAAGATTCATTAATTTGGACATTAAATTCGGATTCCTTGATGTCAGAAACATAAGATTAGTGACCTTTTAAATTTAATTATGCATTTCTAACGAAGAAATAAGGTGAGTTCTTTGTGACGCAAAGCGCGCGCCTTTATGGCGCGCGTGCCAGTTCTAGGATGGATACGGATGCACCTTTTTGGCACGCGTGCAAATCAAGTGGTTAAGGGGGTCCTGGAGCCGTCTATTTTACCGACACATTGATTTCAATCTTTTCAAACATTAATCTTTTTATTAGCTGCACAGATTGAAAAATCCTTTTGCACAATGAAAGTACTTATAAAAACGAAGTTTGGAACGAAGAGTTTTATATAAAATTCAATGAAATATTAGAAAAATTACAGTTTCGTTATCATGTTCTGCGACAGCTCGTAACTTTACTTATTAATTATAACAGTTCTGCAGTTTATCCATGCAAAAGCTTTTGCTTCCAGACTAGCCATAATATGAAAGAATAATACTAAAGTAACAGAAATGAGCTTAGAAATCAATGTAAAAAGATTAGTGTCAGAAAAAAATGTATTGGTTGCGGAAATGATTGCTACACTTTGGGGTAAAACAGAACAGTAGATTAGTTCCACATAATCGTGATCGATGGAGCTGCAGACAGACAAAATCGTATTATCCTTGTCTGTTTCATGGGTAGAATAATATTATGACAATGAAACTGCCGTTGTTAAATTTTTCTTTGAATTTTACATAAAACTCTGCTTTCTAAACTTCGTTATTATAAGCTTCATTGTGCAAAAGGATTCTTCAATCTGTCCAGCTAATAAAAAAATTAGTGGTTGAAATTCTCTCGTATCTTTGTTCCCTCGATCGCACGCTCATTAAGCTGTGTTCACAATCAATCGGAAGACGTCATCGTATGTCGCACCTGTATGTCACTTTTTTTTAATAACTTTTGGGCATCCCGACTCGAGAAGGATGAGAGCTACTGCTCCTCCTGCGGAGCACACCTGCGCAGTGACTCACAACGAAAGGCGAGAAATGAAATATACGTATGACATAAGTATGTAAATAATTCTTACATTTTGCTTGTAACATCTATCCTTAATTATTTTTCGCTATAGACAAATATGAAAACAATTTCCAATCCGAAGTGTGAAAGTAGATTAGGTTAAGACAAATATAAAAGTCCCATACCGTTTTGCGAGATTCGCAATAATTATCAAGTTATTAATGACAGAAATTTGAGGAGTGGGAGCGCACCGACTAATAGATGATCGAAGAAATTGTAGTTGCTCAAGCCACAGCGCGGCCCAGTCGATTCAGAAACTGTTGCCGGTGTGCGGCGAGAAGGACAACACGCCGCTATTCGTTGTTTTATCTCGCCGCACTTACGTCTTGCCGTACGCTGCCAACAGTTGCTGGGAAGACTGGGCCGCATTGTAATCCGAGAAGCTACGACGGTTCTTCAATCATCCATCTCAGCGCGCGCTCATTCGTCAGACTTCTGTAATTAATAATTCAATAATTATTGCGAATCTCACAAAACGGTACGGGACTTTCATGTTTGTCTTAATCCAATCTATATTCACACTTTGGATTGGCAGCTAATTACCGGACACCCTGTATATACAGGATGTTACATTTCAAACATAATAGATAAAAAATCTCGAAAATTAAATGATATTGAGGTCCGCCTTTTTTATATATTGTATTGTTTCGAAGGGGACACGTTTTGATTAAAACAAAATTTAATTTTGGGTGGAGGTGCCAATGTAAAAAGAAGGTCAAACTTTCTTTTAAATGGAACTCTAATTTTTTTAACACCTACGTTTGTAGCCCTTATCATAACGAATTCAACAACCACATACAACCACAAGGTGATTAGAGGTCAAATAATGGAAGAAAAGATTCATTAACTTTATTAATACATCTTAATAAAATCAAAGTTTATTTTGTTCATATTGGCAAAATTCTATCATAATCTTCCTACGTTAAAGCTTAGTAGAAGTGGATATGGAATGGATGTTGGCGTTGATGATACAAAAACTGTAAACATTCTTCAGAAAATAAACACATAGCAGATAGACTAGGCATACGTACATGTGGGGATGGATACTATTTCAACCAAGTCAGTTATTGATATTGAACACGAGTGTGACTAGTATAATCATTAGTATAAGTTGTATTTTCACTTTCTTTTCTTTCGTCTTTTGCGTTATGGTGCGTTATACTTATGAAAAATATCCTGACATGGTCTTAATTTATGGTGAATGTCAACAAAATGCTAGAGAAGCTGCTTTACCGTCAAAGATATCCTAGTAGACTCCATTATCCATCTCCTATGGTCTTCATTCGTTTATATCATCGTTTGAGAGA